TTGCCAAACACTGTTTTTGACATTGTTGTCAAGAAACAGAATAACCTAACTTCTATTTACTGCAGGTTCATAAGCTAGAAACTAGAGGGAGCTTTTTTGAAGCTAATGAAGATACTAGACTGTTCGAGTTCTTCTTGGATATTTTTCACTACTACGTTAATCATCATTGAGTAGAATGCCTCATTTAGGACATTAATTTTTAAGATGCTCAAATGATGTTCTTTTTTGTAAATGCCTATACTAGGATTCTTAATTATTCAACAGATTAGCTTACAATTTAGCAATTCTCAACTGAGATATGATATTGATATATTTTGGTAATATATTCAAGATCTGGACTCTGATGATGAAAATGATGATAGAGAAGGGGATGAAGTTGTCCTTCTCAAACAACAAGATCAGTGTTTGCCTTTGACAGCTTTGGAGTGAGTAATTTATAATTAATATCTGTGTTAATAAAAGTACAAAATGTTGCATTTAGGTAATCTGTGGTTCATTAATGCCGAATGAGTTAATTATCTTTATAACAGAGTAGTTACTACCAATAAGTGAATTAACAACTTTTTGTATATGATTTTGCATTCTTTCAACAGGTCTTTCTTTCTTTGGTCTTTAAAAACAAACTAAATTTAAATTACCCGAAAGTAAGAATAAAGAATAAAGTAATAAAATTATAATTGGATTCAAAGCATTAATTTCTGATGTAAGTGTAATCTGACACAAACTACTTAAGTTTATAAGTAGTAACTGAACTTATACATTAAAATGTTTTTTTCCTTAATAGTAAAAGTAATTGTACAGAAGACATAAAGGTTACAAGAAGGGATTCTAAGAAAGATACCACGGGAGTTAGTGGTCATTCATCACCTCCTCTTTGGAAGATGATGTATTTGATGTGGAGTGCACCAATTACAAAGTTCTGGACATTTCAGGTTTCTAGTTAAAATGTTTTGAGCATTTTTTGATTCTATGTAAATTAAGATTGTCTTATCTGGTTATTTGCGTTTAAAAAAAAATGCGTAAAAAAATTTGCGTTGTATCTTCGTATGACAGTTCTAATTGGCTGATCCATTATGTTAATGTAAAACAAATTAAAACTTCATAAAACTTTTAATGGCTGGAGATGGCTTGAATGGGTAACGAAG